GGGAAATGGGAGGCGGTGGTGGGGAAGAGACAGAAATCTTTAATACATGAATAAATAATAAAATAAAATAAAATAAAAAATTACTCCAGTAACCATAATCTATTCTGAAGTTTGTATTTCAAACATATGCATGTGTGCACTCATTCCACTTATAAGGACGGTCAGAGCAAAGCAACTCTAAATAAGAGGCTACAGTACACATTTAACTATCCATATAAATTATTTTATAAACATGGAAAGGAGTACAGTATAATTGGAAAAAATGTGTGACAATATCACAGTAAAAATCTGTCTTTTAGAAAATGTAGTTTAAAGAAGGGAGACAAAGTTTACCTACAGAGTCCCCTTTTTCATGCCTATTAATTCATTTCCTCAGAGTTTAAAACTTTCCAAAGATGTCTGGGCATTGGAAAAAAAACCTCTCAACTTGTCCAATATTCATCAAGGCCATTCACCTAACTTCCCAGTCTTAGCATTGGCCCTTTGTGCCTTCTGCACTCCTCCTTGTGACACTAAAGGCTCACAGTGATGCTTTCTTCCAAATTACTCCTAATTGCTTCAGTGGATTTGTTCTGGGAATGTGGACACCTTTATACTGACATGCAATTGGTGGAAAGTCATTTAAAAGTTTTCTCAACTCCCTATGTAGATGATGGTATGGATCTGGAGTTGAGCTGAAAATCACTCCTGTCGCAAGACAAAAGACCTGGGAATAATAAACGTATACATCAGGGCCCAGAGTTCACCTCAACAAACAGACTCAGCCTTTCAGCTTGGCACTTGCTATTGAGTCATCACATAGTATGCAGATGAGAATTGTTTTCATGTCACAACACGGATAATTATAAACTTAAGACTTACATGAGTAGGGGACTTGACTGTATTGTGTTGAGAACTGAGACTTGAGAATTCTTTAGCAAGAATTGGAGATTGTTTACTGCTGGATACAGACAAGCCTGTTGTCCACCTGTTCTTGTAAAAATTTCCTCACATATTTAAGTTGGAATTCTTCTCTTTATGTATTCATGCTTTCTTTTATCAATTTATTCATTGCTTTCTTCTTGTAGTTTCATTTTACCTATGATGAAAATTTGTTAAATTTCTACCCCTAAACAAGAAGTTATTTAAACTGAAACCCACTAAGAGAAAAATACACCAGTTTTCTTCAGTGGAGTGGTGCTGTATATTAACCACACCTAAGGGCAGGTTTTATATCAGGAATAGTTAGAATATAATCTAACACAGATTATACTCTATATTATTTTGATGATTTTCCCCATTTGCTTTTGTTGTTCTTAAAAAGGAGAAGGAAAATAAAATTAGGTGAGTAGGGAGTAGGAGAGGATTAGAAAGAATTTGGGGACTGTGGAAGATTGTAAGAGAAGCCTTCTGGAAAGTTGGGAATCTATCTACTTGGAGATCCATGTGTTAGTATCCAGGCACACCTGGCCCCACCAGGTGTGCTACTCTTGGGCATAGACTTGCAAGATTATTCATCTGACAACAGGAACACTTGCTATGCTCATTGTGACTCCATTCATTGTAACCAGAAACTTGAAACAACCTAGTTCTCCTTCAACAGAAGAGTGGGTGCAGAAAATGTGGTATATTTACATAGTGGTATATTACTCAGTTGTTTAAAAATGGCATCAATTGTGCAAATATCACATTTCCTTTTGATGTAGGAGTGTCTTCTATTTGTTGCTTTCATTAATCAAATTTCATTAATCAAATATTAATTAATTCATTAATTAATAAAGAAAACTGCTTGGCCTGATAGGTCAGAACATAGGTAGGCAGGAAAGATAGAACAGAATGCTGGGAAGAAGGGAAGTGAGTCAGATGCCATGCTTCTTCTACCCAAGATGGACGGTGGTTAGAATCTTCCCGGCAAGCCAACCCTTTGTGGTGGTACACAGATTATTAGAAATGGGTTAATCAAGATGTGAGGGTTAGCCAATAAGAGGCTAGAACTAATGGGCCAGGCAGTGTTTAAATGAATACAATTTGTGTGTTGTTATTTCGGGTGTAAAGCTAGGTGTGCGGGAGCCAGGCAGGACAAAAAGCAGACCTGCCCACAGCTCCTTCTACTTCCTTTATCCATTCTTCAGCCAAGGGGCATTTAGGTTGTTTGCAGGTTCTGGCTATTACAAATAATGCTGCTATGAGCATAGTTGAGCACATGTCCTTGTGGTATGATTGAGCATCCTTTGGGTATATACCCCAAAGTGGTATTGCTGGGTCTTGAGGTAGGTTTTTAATGAAGTACTACACAGCAGAAAAAGATAATGACAACTTGAAATTTGCAGTCAAATGGATGGATCTAGAAAATACCATATTGCGTGAAGTAACCCAGACCCCGAAAACAAATTTAATATGTATTCACTTATACGTGGCTTTTTGATATAAAGCAAAGAAAAACCAGCCTATAATTCACAACTTCAGAGAACCTAGACCACAATGAGGACCCTAAGAAAGTCATTCATGGATCTAATCTATATGGTAAGTAGAAAAAGACAAGATCTCCTGAGTAAATTGGGAATGTGGGGATCATGGGAGATGGTATAAAGAGACAGGGAAGGAAGGCAGGGGAGCAGAGAAAAATACATAGCTCAATAAAAACAATAAAAATGGCATCAAGAAATTTGCAAGAAAATGGATGAAGCTAGAAAAAAAAGTCACGAATGAAGTAATCCAGACCCAAAATGATAAATATGGTGTTTGTTCCCTTATAAGTAGATATTAGACATTAAGTAAATAATAACAAAGCTATAATTCATACACATAGAGATGTTAGGAAAAGAGGAGGAATCTAGGAATGACTGATGGATTTCCCTGGGATGGAGAAATATACTAGGCTTTACAGGTAGGTTGGGTAGGTGGGAACAAGAGTGAGGGAATCAGATGGGGAGGAAGATGAGGTTCAGGGAAAGAGTGCAAAGAGAGACTTCTGGAATTGCTGGGCATTTGTGGGTGGTGAGAAAGGTAATACAGTAGAAACATACTGGAATTTAGGAAGGCAGTCCTTTGAGGACTCCTAGTAATGGGGGATCCAGAGTCATCTCCTGCCACGAGGTATGGCTTATGGTGGCAGGACTAGGTTCCATTTATAAGTTGTTTTTCAAGGGGGTCCCATGGAAATCCCCCAACTACCTGGACTGTTGCTGACACAGGGAGTTATTCTCTGTAAACTTACTGTGAGGCCCCAGTGCTGAGGACAATACCCACACATATCATTGAACATGGAGAAGGAAAGCTGGTACCTGCACGGAGCCTTCACCCTACATCCCAATCTCTTTGGTACAGGATGATACTCTGCAGGACACAAAAAGAGGAATGTGGAGACCAACGAAATCACAAACCTTTGACCTTTAATCTGTTCTGCCTCAAAAATATGCTAGGATGACTGTGGCACAAAGTTGCTGAAGTAGCCAATGCATACCTGACTTGACATAAGGCAACAAGTCCTGAGAATGAGCCCATGCCTGACACTGCTTGAGTAAGCAAGGGACAGAGACTCTGTGGCCAGAGACCTAAGGGAAAACCAAACACCACTGGTTAAGAGAAAAGGTATCTATACAAATGACTCCTGATGATATTCTTCTGTTCTCATAGAGATCTCAACACTCAGACTTTTCAGTGTTGTGATTTTAGAGGACTTTAGACTTTAGAATTTTTTTTTAGTAATCAAAGCCTTTATTCTATATACAACCAAATGGTCCTTTCCCAACAAAACATTCATCCTTTATGAGAGAAGCTGGTATCTAGGGTGGGCCAAAAGAAACTCTGCATTTGGCCTGTTTTTGTCTGGATCCGTATGTCCGCCAGCCCTTTTCCATTCATTTCCAAAGGCTTTTTGGTAGTCAAGCTCAGCTCCACGCCTTTTGTCTGGAAGAATCTCACTTCTGTTTAGGGTCTTCAGCTGACCAATATTGGCAATGATGATTTCCTTTGCTTTGTTTCCTTCAGTCATGGGGTTTCTAGTACAGGACAAAGCCTGTAGGTTCTGTAATTTATCTAGCTCATTGATAAATGACCAGTCTGATATTTTGTTGTCATTGACTACGAGGTACTGCAAAGACGGGAACATGGATGTTTTGCACCCAATTCCAGCATCCGGAAAATGTATAGAAGAAAGCCCAGTGTCAGAAATGAGTAGGTGTTCTAATCTGGGAAGATATGCTATGAGGCACAGCTGACTTTCATCAATGGCTGGGTTAGAGGAAAGGTCTAGTAACCTCATCTTCTGCAGGACGTTCACTGGCCTTTCTGAAATGGAAATACTGTTAGACTTGAGGTAGAGTTCCTCGAGAACTGGCCATGAAGGGGCACAGCGCAGCACCTCAGCCCACGTTACTCCCATTTTATTTAGGACTAAAATCTTCAGATTAGAAAATGCTCCAGCTGGAGTTGGTGAGTCAGAGGGAAACTGTAGTTTATTTTCACTGAGATCGAGATCCTCCAGGTTGGTGAGCTGCTCTGCAATAAGAACCACTTCATCCCAAGATGACAACAGGTTTTTGGACAAATTAACAACTCGAATATTGGGACAGGCTTCAGCAATTCTTCCTTGTTCACCAGCACAACTCACAGCACACTTCCACAGGGAAATGTCTTTCAGTGCTCTCAGCTGACTCTGCTTCTTTGTGATACTGTCAAAACCAACAGTTTGCACTTGTTTACTTCCAAGTTTTAAGGAACTTGATTTTCCCGTCATCATCAGCATAACGCTTCTTAAGAGCAGTAAGAAAGTCTACTCCAAAATTAACTTTGTTTGGACGAACAAAGGAGCCTCCTGTTGGGTGCCTGCATTTAAAATACATAGTGCCTTCATGGCTCCCATCATGCTTTCCTCTCTCTGGATTGTCCCATTCAACTCCTAACCAGAGTCCTGCCACCGGAGGAACAGCACCACAAAAGCGCACAGTTGCAAATTCCCCATTAACTTCAACTCTTCTACCAATGACGTCTAACGGCACAACGTCACTCATTATAGGACAGCAGGAATCCAAAATGCGAGATCTGCCTCAGCCCGTGGGTCTGCACCGCGAGCCCCTCCCGGTGCCTGGGCCACTAGACTTTAGAATTTTTGATTTCTGCACTTCCAGCCTTTTTTGGGATTGTGGCATTTAGGGTTCTGTCTTTTGTGCTGATTTTTTCGAAATCAGACCACAGTCTTTGTGATTAATAACTCAACATATTAATTTCAGGGCACCCAATTCAACCTAACAAATAGATTGCTTGTAGAAAACCAGTCATAGTGGGTGTGGTAGTTTAAATATGATTGGACCCCATAATCTCATAGGGAGTGGTACTATTAGGAGAGGTGGCTTTGTTGGAGTGACTATGGCCTTGTTGGAGGAAGTGTGCCACTGTGGGCACCCTTTGAGATTTCCTATGCACAGGATACTGCCTAGTGTGTCAGTTGACTTCCTGGTGCCTGCAAGATGCAGCACTCTCAGCTCCAGCACCAAGTCTGCCTGCACACCAGCATGCTCCCTGCCATGATGATAACAGACGGAACCTCTGAAACTGAAACTGAAGCACCACAGATAATGTTTTCTTTATAAGAGTCACAGTGCCTCTTCACAGCAAGAGAACCCCTAACCAAGACAGAGGTTGATACCAGGAACTGAGCTATTGCTATGACAGGCCCAGCCATGTGTTTGCTTGGAGTAATATGGTCTTTGGGACGGTGGGTTAGAAAAGCAGTTGAATGTTTTAAGCGCTGCTTAGAGGACTGTACTATTAGGAGTGTGGAGGACAGTGGAGCTGAGTGTGATTTGATGAATTATGGGCTGCAACCTCAGGAGGAGAAGTCTAACAGAGGAGAAGACTTGTACCATGTTGTCCAAAATCATCCTTGTGATATTTTGGTGAAGATAGTGGCTGCTTTTTGCCCCTGTCCAAAGATTCTACCTGATGCTAAAGAGAAGGGTTTTGGATTCAATCTGTTGGCAGAGAAATCTCAAAATAGTCTAATATAGACTCTGGTAACTATAACAAAGGGTTATAATAAAAAGGAGCAAGTTGAACAGGGTAAATTAAAAACATTACTTTTAAGGAGGAAAGGAGCTCCAGGAAGTTGAATAGAGCTAAATCTTGTGTTCAAGGAGATGTACTAATTAAGAATGGAATAAAAGGAATTTTGATCTCAGGGCAAGATCCACCCAGATTAGTTTCCAACTTGTGTAAAGAAACAAACAACAACAACAACAAAAATACTTAGATCCAGGTGTGGTAGGGCACACATTTAATCCCAGTACTAAGCAGGTTGAGGCTGGTGGGTCTGTGAGTTTGAGGCCAGCCTGGTTTAGAGAACAAGTTCCAGGACAGCTAATCTTGGGCAGTGAAGATTTGTCACTTAACTTCTGGATTGTTCCTTCCATCGGTTTTCCCATTCCACTAGCATGTGCGTGAAAAGACAATGAAGAATTTGACAGTTCATTCACTAAAGTTTACCAAATGCCTAAATATTGGCTGTTATCTTAATTCTCATTAGTAAATAAATGTTGATGCTTCTGTGTTTCTCTATGTCTTATATTTGTGTGTGTGTGTGTGTGTGTGTGTGTATGTGTTATGTGTTAGCGGGTGCCTCTTTATAGGGCTGTTGGGCCTTACCTTGTACCTTATTTGAGACACAATCTCTTGGTATATGATTTGAACATATGGCAGATGGTCTTGAAGTTCATAGAGGTCTTCTTGTCTGCCTTTTCCATACCTTTAAGGAGCTGATAGGACAGATTTCTCTGCTACTGTATCTACCTTTCAAATTATTTTATTTTGTTAATTTTATTTCATTTTATTTTATATGTGTGCAACGTGCCTCTACTTTAATAGCACTGGAACCCTGTTCCTTCTGTATGCCTCCGTGCTTTGTGCCCAAAGGAGTGACAGAAAAGTTCCCATTCTTTTTTTTTTTTTTTTTTTGAGACAGGGTTTCTCCGTAGCTTTTGGTTCCTGTCCTGGAACTAGCTCTTGTAGACCAGGCTGGCCTCGAACTCACAGAGATCCGCCTGCCTCTGCCTCCCGAGTGCTGGGATTAAAGGCATGCGCCACCACCGCCCGGCCCCATTCTAATTCTTAATTGCTGTCTTGGAGTTGCTTATTTTCTTTTGTTTTGTGACAGGAACTCAGGACCAAGGTGTTTAAAAGTTACTTCAGACCCTTGTGGAGATGCTGTCATCATGGGTCTAGAACTGAGTTAAAAATAACGAGTCTGCTGGGATATAATACTAAGAGATCCCAAACCTTTAAATCAGGGAAAGTGTCCCAGCACAGTTAAGGCAGAGCCTCACTTTTCATGGCACACCTACCATCATGGTGTCATCCAGCACTAAGGTGAGTGGTCAGAGAATAAGAGTAGGAATAACTAAAGACATTAGAAAACACTCCTTGGAGAAGCCATGGTTGTGCTATTGGATACACCTTATTTTCTTCCTAAGTGCCTCTCTTAATTGTAGTTGTACTTTAAAAATCTGTATTAATAATTTCTTTCAACAGCTCTGCTGAAAGGAAGGAGGGAAGGGGGAAAGGAAGAAAGAAAAGAAGGAAGGAAAGAAGGAGGAAAGAAAGAAAGAAAGAAAAGAATGAACGAAAAGACAGAAAATTCAAGCAATAGTTAGGTTTAGAGACAGGGAATTTTATGGGTTTTTGGATGAAATTGTGGCTATTTTTCAACTCAGGGTAGAGTCAGCTGTCTCCAGCCTTCCCTAAGCTTTGTGAACCCTGCTCCTCCCATAAGCTGCTACTAAATCTCTAGCAGTAGAAATATCTTAGTAAGATATCTCTTAGTGATATCATCTCCTTTTTATTCTTCTAGCTTCACTTAGTCAGCCTCTGTCTCTATTTCTCTCTGGCCCGGTCTCCATCTCATCTTCCTCACCTTCTCTCACATCTCTTCCTCATTTTTAGTTTGTAAAAGGAGGATCTATTTGGATTCATCTTTTTCTTTACTGATGATACTGGGAATCATTCCCAGGACCTTTCTCCATCTGGACAAGCCATGAGCTACATCCCCATCTCATCCTAATGTCTTGAAGTACTTATATTCTTTTCATTTTTCCTATTCACCAATTTATACACTTCTGGGAAATGTATTCTATTTTTGTGTCTGAATAGATAGATTATAGGAATGTGTAAAAGAAAATATTTATAGTATTAATTAAAATTTTATCAATGATAGAATTATAGGGTGATTATTCTAGGAAAGATGAATTTTATGGATGCTTGAAGATCAAGAGTTAAAAATTTAATGAATTACAAGTAAGAAATAAATAAATAGGAGTATGATCTTGGTACTTTAGCAATTCTAAAACATGAAAGTTGTTTCACTAAATATACCTTCAAACTGTTGCTTTATGATTTCAGCTCATGTGTTACCTACAAGAATACAGTGCTCTTGTCCTGTGAAGAGTTAGGCCTGTTCTCATCTAGAAAATACACACAAGTATGTTTGACTTTCTCTATTCCTATTGTCTTGTCACAGTCTAGAGTTTCGGAAGCTGTCATATATCTGCCCGATGTCAGGGAATTCTGTGGATAAGTGAATTCTAAACAAAATAACAGCAACAAATTCTATCATATTATACACTTACCTAATATACTGCTAACCTTTCAATATACAAAAATGCAAATTTATGAATGGAAACCTAAACTTTATATCACTAACCTATGAGTCTAAGAAATCTTAATTGACTGTCATCTCTATAGCTCTGTACTGATGTGGGATTTCCCCTCTGTATGCTGTTAATATGTTTTATTATCATATGTTAAAGGAGAATCTGCTTTGACCAATGTCATGGCAGAATAAAGCCAGGTGGGAAACCTAAAAAGCTGGTGGTTTCCCTTAATGTGCAGAAACTTATTAATCTCATGCCGATCCGCTCATTAATTTCTGGCTCATTCCCTGTGTTAATGAGCCTTGTTGGCTCTAAGACTTGTATTACTCGTATTTTCCTCTGAGAGTTTTAACATTTAGCTTTTGAATAATTTAACATTAATTTTTGTGCACTCCAAGGTGATAGAGAGATATTGCCATACTTATGCAGGTGGATGTCCATTTTACACAAAGTCATTCGGAATCATACTGTCTGAACACAGAGTCACAGCAAGCATTCAAGAAAAAAGATTGATCTTTGGGCTTACGAGGGAGGGGGACTTGTTTGAGGGAGGAGGCGGGAAATGGGAGGCAGTGGCAGGGAAGAGACAGAAATCTTCAATAAATAAATAAATTAATTAAAATAAAATAAAATAAAAATTAAAAAAAGAAAAAAGTGTCTGTGTTTTCCTGAGAGTCTTCATGAGAACTGCTGAGACTCTGCAAGGCAGTGACAGGGAATGTCAGACCCCTCATTTATTCTTCTTCCTCAACACTGGCCATTCCCTGTGTTGTTTTGTATCCTCTCAGGTTCCCTGATCCTCGTACCACATTGGTCTTTATTAATAACAAGAGTTGTTGAGGCCTGGCGGTGGTGGTGCACGCCTTTAATCCCAGCACTTGGGAGGCAGAGGCAGGCGGATCTCTATGAGTTTGAGACCAGCCTGGTCTACAAGAGCTCGTTCCAGGACAGGTTCCAAAAACCACAGAGAAACCCTGTCTCTAAAAACCAAAAAAAAAAAACCAAAAAACAAAAAAAACAAGAGTTGTTGATCCAACATGTGGGAGATGCAGTAACACTCCAATTGGAACTTGGTAATGATTTAGAAATTTTGTTGAAGAAAAACAATACTAATTTGTAGAGCTTCTACAACATTCTACTTTCCTACAGAGTAGACCCTTGGCTCTTATTTGACCACATGCTCAGCAACTTTGACTCCTGCTTTTATTTGTTTTAATTTGTTTGTTTAATACCCGCTTATACTGTCTCTGATGATAGTTCATTGCAACTTTGATTTACATCACCTCATTGTATTCCCTTAATTAGTGCTGGTGCTGGGCCTTATATTGCTCTGATTTTGGACATTTCTGAATTGTTTACAGGCAATTCATTCAGGTCTGGAACCCATCTCTCATATGTGTTATATTTTAAACTTTATATTTAAAAACTTAGTTTTAACTCTTATTTTTAGGATGGAGAGATAAGTGATTGTTTCAGAGTACATCCTGCTCTTTGAGTGCAGTTCCTAACTTCCTACAGGTGACTCACAACCATCTACAAATGCAGCTCTAGGAGACCAATACCTCTGGTCCCTGCTGGCCCTCACACTCACATGTAACCACCCCCAGCAACACACAATTAAGACTAAAATATATCTTCAAATAAAATATTCTTTGTGTTCTGAATATTTAACCACTCATTCTAAATATGATTTTCACATATTTTTGGTTGTTTTTCTTGATGAATTTTGAATTTTGGTCATGTGATTTTCAGAAATAATGGCACGCTTAAAATTTGTTTTAATATTTATTTATTGTGTATACCATATTCTGTCTGTGTGTATGCCTGCAGGCCAGAAGAGGGCACAAGACCTCATTACAGATGGTTGTTTGTGAGCCACCATATGGTTGCTGGGAATTGAACTCAGAACCTTTGGTACAGCAGGCAGTGCTCTTAACCTCTGAGCCATCTCTCCAGCCCTTAATTTTTTTTTTTTGAAAACTGACTCAAAACCAGTGCTTAGTCAAAAGCAATGAAAATATTAATTTTTTGGGGGGCAGTTTTTTTGAGACAGGGTTTCACTTTGTGTAGCATATCTTTCCTGGAATTTGCTTCGTAGATCAGGTGAGCTTCAAAATCATAGGTATTTCTGCCTCTTATCTCTTGATTTCTGTTTTGAAGGTCATGTAGTTCCTTGTCCAGAGAAAATATTAATCTTCTGTAAACATACCTAAAACTTTTCATTTAAATAATGCGGAATATTTATTTGAATAAAAATAAAGTTTTAGACATAATTCTTCAATGAGAGAACTGTGTAAATAGAGTAAAGCGATAAATATATTATTTTAGCTAACATCTTGAAATAATGCACACCCATAATGTATTTCCAGGGTCCACTGACCATAATAAATTTTATCTTATATAGGAATGAAAATGGCTTCTGACAACTTGGCAATGGGAATTTTCCTCTTTTCCCAGATCACAGTGGGAGTGCTTGGAAATTCTTCAATAATATTTTATTATCTGATTTTTATATTCAATGGGAAGCATTTAATGCCCAAAGACCTGATTATAGAGCACTTGGCTTTAGCCAATTGCTTGTCTATCATCTCAAGAGGCATTCCACAGGCAATGTCAGATTTCAGATTTAAGGATTTCCTCAATGATGTTGGATGTAAATTGATAGTCTACATTTACCGAATAGCAAGAGGGGTGTCCCTGTATGTCATGTGCCTACTGAGTTGCTTCCAAGCGATCACAATCAGCTCCAGCAACTCCAGGTGGATGAAGCTTAAACACAGAGCCACCAAGTACATCGGTCCCTCCTGCTCACTTAGTTGGCCTGTGTACCTGGTTCTAAACATCTTGACTCCAGCAAGAGTATCAGGCCCCATTTCCAACCAAAATGTGACTAGCAGGCTGAGTTATGGGTACTGCTCATGGTTTGCCTCCGGTAATGTGGTAACGGCCCTGTATATATCCTTACTGTGCTTCACTGATGGCCTGTGTCTGTGTCTCATGGCTTGCGTAAGTGTCTTCATGGTGAGTGTCCTCTACAGACATAAGAGACAAGTCCAGCACATCCACAGTGCTCAACGCTGTCTGAAAGTCTCGCCTGAGGCTAGAGCTGCCCAAACTATCCTTACCCTGGTGTGCATATTCGTCATCTCTTATGCATTCTCCTCCATTGTTGTCATCTTTACGACCTACTCAGAAGGTTCGGTGCTATGGAAAGTAAGTGTATTCCTATTTCTAGAAATGTGCTTTCCTATCGTTTGCCCATTTGTTCTCCTCAGCAATATCAAGTCTAGTTCCAGTCTGTTTTTACCATGCTGTGGTAATAGAAAACTTTTTCCAAATTTGACATGAGCACTGCTTGTATGCCTTTGCTGATTTATTTGCATATTCTTTTATTTATTGTAGAATGCTAAGACTCCAGTTTGAACATGTCAGATATCCTCCTGCCTCTACCTCCTTCAGCAAATCCTCCTTGCATATTCCATAACGACTGGTCATAAAACTCAAGTCCATGTGGATCAAAGACTTCAGCATAAATCAGGTACAATGAATATTATATAATAGAAAATGGGGAATAGCATCAAACTCATTGATAAAGGGACAACTTCCTGAACAGAACATGGATAGTGCAAGTACTAAGATCAACAATTAATAAATGTGACCTCATGAATCTGAAAAGCTTCTGTAAGGTAAAGGACACTGGCGATAGGAGAAAATGGCAGCCTACAGAATGGGAAATGATTTTCACCAACTCTACATCTGATAGAGTGCCAATATTCAAAATACATAAATATCTCAAGAAACTAGACATGATAAACCAAACACTCTAATTTAAAAATGAGGTACCGGTCTAATCAGAGAATTCTCAGTAGAGGAGATTCAAATGGCTAAAAAAAAAAAAAAACACTTTTAAAATGTTCAACTTCCTTAGCCTTCTTTGAAATATTAATCAAAACCACTTTGGGATGTGTTTTTTGGGATGGAAATCTTATTCTTAGAATGGCTACGGACATTAACACAAGTGACAGCTCATGATGGTAAGGATGTGCAGCAAAAGAAACACTCCTCTATTGCTGCTGGGAATGCAAACTGGTAGCCACTGTGGAAATCAGTGTTGCAATTCCTGAGAAACCTGGTAACGGACCTCAAGACACAGTTATACCATTCTTGGACGTATATCCAAAGGATGTTCCATTCTACCACAAAGACACTTGATCAACTGTGTTTATAGTGGCTGTATTCATAATAACCAGAAACTATACATTACTTAGATGGCCTCCCAGTGTAGCATGCTTAAAGAAAATAATAAATTTACAAAATGGAATAGTATCATTGGTTATAAAATGACACTATGAAATTTGCAGGCAAATGAATGGAACTTAAAAATACATCTTGTGTAAAGTAACCTGTTGTAAAATATTTGTTTAACTATGTAAAAGTGTGTTTTGTTTGTCTATGTCATAGACTATTTATTTAACTCCATAAAGCTGGGTTGCATTTGTTTAATTATGTGATGATGTGTTGCTGTTTTACCTCGCCTGCCTATGGGACCTGATTGGTCTAAAAACAAGCTGAACAGTCAGTAGTGAGGGAGAAGGTATGGGTGAGACTTCCAGAGTAAGTAGGAGGAATTTAAACTTGAGAGAGAAAGGAAAAGAAGAAAGAAGACAATAGAGAGTTACCAAGAGCCAGCCAGCCAGACTCAGAGGAAACAGGAAAGAGGACATACAGAATGAAAGAAAACTAAATATCTCCAAAGCAAAATGTAAAAGAATAGATACAGGTTAAATTAAGGTAAAGTGTTAGTGGGACAAAGCTCATGTTGAATATTTAAGATTAATAATAAGTGTCCATGGTTGGCAGCCCAAAGTAAATGCTATCTCCTGTAAACCATTTCAGAAAGACAAACATAGTATTTACTCACCTATAAGTGGATATTAGCTGTTAAATAAATGATAATCATGCTACAATCCACAGTTCCTGAGAGATTAAGCTACAGAGATGGTTCAAGAGGGGGCACATGGATCTCTTAGGGAAGGGGGAATTGAATAGATTTTGCAGGTGGACTGGGTGTGGATAGGGAAGGGAATGGGCAGGACTGGGTGTGGGTGGAGGAATGGAGGGGAAATGACTGAAATTAGATGGTATTTGGGAGGAAATAGGGAAATCTAGTGCATTGGAAAATCCCTGGAATCACAAGGCTGACCCTAGTGAGGACTCCTACTAATGAAGGATATGGAGCCTGAACTGTTCATTTTCTGGAAGTAGGTAACACTTGTAGTCATGGGACTGGGACACCAATCCAGCCATGTAACCTTCAACCAACAACCTGTCCTGACTGCAAGATGTGCTGGGACAATGGGTGCACAGAACTTGTGGGAGTGGCCAATCAATGGTTTAATTTGAGGCCCACACTAAAAGAGGGAGTCCAAGTCCAACACTGCCCGGATGACGAGGACTGGAGGCTAGATAGCCTGGAGACCAGGATTAGTGCCTAGCCCAGTCCTCAGCAGAGAGGCTGCTTCTGACAGCGGCTGGGAATGGATACATAGACCCAAAGCCAAACATTAGCTAGAGAGAGAACCCAGGTTGGTTGTCTTCATCATGTCCCTTTCCTAAGATCTCGGAGTTCTATGGAGGGCGACAAGAGGAATAATGGGAGCCAGAGGGGTTGAAGACCTGAGGGAGTGTCTTCCGAGGAATCAACAAAGCAGGAGTCAACTGAAGCTGCAATTGTGGAGCCTGCATGGGTCTGGGCTTGGTCCTCTGCGTATGTGCTGTAGTTGTTGGCTTGGGACTTTTGAGGGACCTATGACTGTAGGCCTGGGTCTTTAACTCTGTTGCTTGCTCTTGGGCCAGTTTTCTACCTACTGAGTTACCTTGCCCAGCCTGCATGTGAGGGTTTGTGCCTCATCTTATATCTTGCTGTGTTGTGTTTGGCTGATGTTACTGGAATGTACTCTATAAGAGAAGAATAAATAATTGTTTACAGAGAAATAAAATACCAAGCACCCTAAAACTGACCCTGTGTCATGTGGTATTATACTCAACATTTTATTATAACATTTTTCTTATGTAATTTACTATAGAGTAGTGAGAATTTTCCAAATATGTAGAATCATCATATTTTACAAATTACTATGTGACAATAGGCAAAGTATAGGTGAAAAAGAAGAAATGAATCTGTGATACCAGAAATTATCTTAACACTTAGGGAAGGATCTTCTGCTCTGGTGTGTGTGATCATGTGTGCTGGGGTAGGAGGGCTTATTATTTTATCTGTATAGGTATTTTTCCGACATGTATTTTTATGCACCTTGTGTTAAAGTACCTGAAGAGGTCAGAAGAGAGCGTTGACCCCTTAGGACTTGGAGTTACACATGGTTTTGAGCCAGCATTGAGTACTGGAAATAAAATTAGTCCCCTTTAGAGGAGCAATTGGTGCTCTTAACCATCAAACCATTTCTACAGCCCTGAGATGTCTTGATCATATCTTAAATTGATATTTTGTGTAGGTATGTGTGCCATGGTGTATGTATGTGCACCACATATATGCATGCTTGCTACCCAAAGAGGCAAGAACAGCACATTGGATTTTCTGCAATTGGAGTTACAGACAGTTGTCAGTCACTTGATGTGTTTGCTGGGACCTGAACTCAGTTCCTCTGGAAGTCCACTGCACGCTTTGCCCACTTTGCCAGCTCTCTAGCCCCAAGCTGTGGTTTAGTGCGCCTCATACGCAGACACTACAGTTCTTCAAGAGTGATCACTGCTCTGAAAATGCTGTAGAGAAATGGATGGAAACAAAACTAACCTTAGGAAAAATGTCAGCCCCACAAAGACAAAGCTTACATTTCCTTTCATGTGAACCCAGGGAACAAAATGAATCAGAGTAAGATATGAGCTACTGAGAAGAGGAAAAGAACCAGAGCGCAGGAGAGTGGGAAATAGATGAGATGATGAGGGAGAGATGTGACACGAGCCCATAGTGCACATCGTGAAAGTATCACAGAGTGATAGTGTACTATGTACTATTAATATGTGGATAAAAGAAAAATTAACAAAGCTTGTCACCACAAGACTATGTCTGTTATATGCCCTGTTCTGTAACATCTGCTTTCAGAAGATTCATTAAATGTTTTAGTTGTGTATAATTTTATTCTCTGTTTTTATGCCAATAACAAGCTGTTTTCATTACTGTAGCTTTATAATAGAACTTGATGTCAGAAATGGTGATGCCTCTAGAAGTTCCTTTATTGTATAGGATTGTTTTGGCTGTCCTGGTTTTTTTCCATATGAAGTTGATTATTGTTCTTTCAGGGTCTGTGACAAATTGTGTTAGTATTTTGATGGGTATTGCATTGAATCTACAGATCGGTTTGGTAGGATTTCCATTTTTATTATGTTGATCCTACCTATCCAAGAACACGGGTGAACTTTCCATTTTCTGATATGTCCTTTCCTCAAAGACTTAAAAGTTTTTGTCAAACAGGACTTTCACTTCCTTTGTTAGGGTTACCCCAGCATATTTTATGTTATTTGTTGCTATTGTGAAGGATGATATTTCTCTGATTTCTTTCTCAGCATCTTCATCATTTGTGTATAGGAGAGCTACTGATTATTTTGAGTTATCTTGCATCCTGCCATATTACTGAAGGTATTTATCAGCTGTAGAAGTTTTCTATACTGTAGCTCTGTAATAGAGTTTGAAGTCAGGGATGGTAATGCCTCCAGACGTTCCTTTATTGTATAAGATTGTTTTGGCTATCCTGGGTTTTTTGTTTTTCCATATAAAGTTGATTATTGTCTTCTCCAGATCTGTGAAGAATTTTGATGGGATTTTGATGGGGATTGCATTGAATCTATAGATTGCTTTTGGTAGAATTGCCATTTTTACTATGTTGATCCTCCCAATCCAAGAGCAAGGGAG